TGTCCCAATCGGTGACACTGAAATGGCACACATTTTAGCCAATCAGGCGCAGGATGTCGATCCAGTGCGAAGGCCAGAAGCATCCGCTGCGTTCCGTCGACGTCGGTCGTGTGGCCGCTAGTGTAGCTACTACCCACAACTCGCGGAATCGGAGCGTTGGTTATATCAGCCAAGGTTGCAGAGCGCCTTTTGGGCACCCAAGCTTTCTCGCCCGAGAGCTACTCACGCGGCCCAGACGGGCGGCGCCGCTTCAAGGTGGCGGAGATGGCATGGCCAAGGGACACTTTCGGTGCAGAGTGGCAGTCAACGTGGTTGTCACTAGACGCCACCGAAGCGGGTGGCGCCGACCAGCGGTCGCCCAGTGGCGTGCGGCCTGCGACTTTCCATATTTTGTACACGATGCCTGCGACGTTTCGCAGTGTTTTCATATTTCGTGGGCACGAAATAGATTTTTAAAATTTGCATTTTGGGCTGTCTTTGATTTCGTTTGATTTGCTTCTTGTCGCTGGTTGTTCACACTGTCACCGGCGCTGCATTGCCAGGCAAGCGCTTCTCGGTGAGGCCGTAGCGGTTTCGCGCTTCCTTCCTCGCGATGCCACCGAAAAAGCAGTGGATGGAAACAATCATGAGAAAGGGAATCTCATGCTGCTCCTGGAACCCGTCGTTTGGCTCGAGGTCATTCCATACATAACTTGGCGAACGTTAGCTGCATAGACGTCTACTGGTCGTCGACGCGTGCGCAGTTGGCGTTTTGTAGTTTGTACGAACCTTTCATCAATGGCGCACTTGCTACGCTGCACGTCGTTCGACGCATCGAAAGACGCGGTGGTTCTGTTCGATCGTTCGGAATGAGCGCGATCGACGTTCAAAATTCTCGGAGTTTGCACCGCTGACAAGGTTGTCGCAGGTTCGTGGCTGCGTTGCTCGAAAGCAGCACGTATTAATACATATGTTTTACAACTGATGTGTGTACATAAATGTCTTCTATACTTGTCTCCAATGATAGGAACGAGATGATGATTACCGATCGTCCAGGCACTCGATGGCGGCGGAAACAATGACATTGGCCAAAACGTTCGCGGGATTGGTCCAATGGAATGCACTGGCCTTTAGTCTGCGGCTGCGAACCCCACTTGGCCACCCTACCGCAGCCAAAGTACTAGTAGCTCTCCAACGCAAACCTCAAGACGAACAGCACGGAAACACTCAGTCCATGTATGTACTGTAGAGTAGCTTGAGCACCAACATGGCGTGCGAAAGCAAGATGCCAATGATGCGCCACCAACGAGGTCGCGGGTGGGCTGCACTACTCGCCCTTTAAGGGTCCAGACTAGCAAATGGTAGTCCAATCGTAGACACTATACGGTAATCCATGTAGCACAGACGGGAGGTTAGGAGAAGGCTAGGTCCGTAGTCAACGTCAAGTGAGCGGGCGGTGCTTGCAAACCCGTCCAAGCGACAACGCTAACACCTCGACACCTACGTGACATAATTCATTAACCCTTGTTCGGGCAAGAGCCTTTCTCGAAATGAATAGCATCGTGGATGCTTGCAACTGTAGCAACTTGCCTATGTAGTTCGGTCGCCCTTGGTGTCCACCATCGGCAAAAGTAGGGTTGTGGTCTTCTCGCTCCCCGAGCCCTAGGACTCGGCCACACAACCAATCGGTGCGGATGCTCTACTACCAAGAGCGTGCGAGCCGTGTGCAGTACTGTAGTAAGGCACGTCTGGATTTCACTGGTCAAGCGTCCATTATAGTGAGCTGGTATCCGATATAGTTAACCCTTGCCGGTGCAGGCACTAGCATTGATTTGGTGTTGGATCAGCTTGTAGCGCCACCACAGCTCACGCTTCTGTCTTCCTCGCGTACACTCGCATGCTCTGCTACCGTTTTTACGTCAATTGGAAAGTTCACGCCTTTACGACATCTTCCGTTCGACCTAAATTTAACTCAGTCCCATTTCTGCTGCCGTTGCCATGAAGAGCGCTGTCATCCTGCCACCGACGCACACCGCGGGCGACGACATCCTTGACGGTACGCCGTGCTCGCTGCGCTTTCCTCTCGCTGCAGTGGCGCTGGACGGTCCACCCGTAGAGGACAAGGGCGCGATTGTGCTGGCGACGCACGAGCTGCGCCCACTCGAGTGCGCCCGCGACGACGTCGCCGACGCCTTGCGCTCCATCGACGACGCCGACTGGTACGTCCAATACGAGGCGATCGAGACCTTTCGCCGGGCACTCGTGCACCACGCGCCGGCCGCGGGCCCGCACCTCGGCGACGTCCTCGCCATCTTCTCGGCCGCGAGTCTCAACCTCCGGTCCGCCACGAGCAAGAACGCGCTCCTTGCGCTCGCCGAGTGCTTTGAGTTTGGCGACGTGACCGCGCTGCCGCTCCTCCATGTCGTCCAAGCGCTCATGAAGCGCGCCGCGTGCGAGAAGAAATTCCTCCGCGACGCAGCCACGCTCGCGATTGCAAAGCTCACGACGCACGCGCCGACGTGGCCCGTCCTGGTGTCGCTCGCGGCCTACTCGTCGAGCAAGAGCGCCAAGCTCGTCGCCGCCGCGTGCAATGGCACGGTACGTCTCATGGTATCTGCAATAGGAGCTCTAAGTTCTGATATCATGTAGATGCTCTGCTTGCTCCAAATGCAAGTGGACGCCGCCATCTTGAACCCGACGCAGGTAAGACGCGTCTCGTAGCGTTGCATGCCCTTGACACTGTCCTTCTAGATCATCGAGGTGCTGCCGGCGCTCGCTCGGTTCCGCAACGGCAAGGACGCCAAGGCCCGCGAAGATGCGCTCGTGGGCTTGAACGTCGTCGCGTCGTTTGCCGGCGGCAGCGATATCTTTGAGAAGCTCGTGAGCACCGCAATTGCCGACAAGGTCGCCGCCACCAAGGTCCTCCAGGCTGTCATCGCAAGCAACAAGCGCAAGGCCCTCGCACGCGCACCGCTGACGACGGGGCTTCGCGCGGCGCTCCAGAGCCGGAAACAGCAGCAGCTGCAACCGCCGACGGTCGTCGAGTAAGCGTCGCAATGCTGATGCGAGAGGTCGTTTGTACAAACTACGACGCACCATAATGGACTCGGAAACGCGTCGGCGTCGGCAGGTCGTGTAGGGCTAGGCTCTGCTCATTAACGTTTATCTCTACTTATTCCTT